AGAAATTCCCATGTGTATGAAGACAAGGGTGTAGATGATTCTTTAGGAATGTATATCTCATCTCCCTGCCTAGTGATTACAATCAGAAATTCCCATGTGTATGAAGACAAGGGTGTTTTAATTCATGCTGTACATTTAGATTCTCTCCACTCACTTACCTGGATGAGTGACTTACTGCAATATAATTTTACTGTATTGCAGCTTTTGTTCCTGTGGGGCTTAAAATAATTTATCTCCTTGTGGATAAGGCCTCTGCATTAACTTACTTTTTATTGCAGCAACATTAGTTTTCCGTGTCTATTTGAAGGTAGTATTCCCTCCGTAACTGTTTTAAATCTCCTCTAGAAAATATTCATGTCTATCCAGAGTGTGCTGAACATGCACTAAATAGTTTGGAAAAGAATTCAGAGTCAAAGAAGAGTCTACAGATTTCTTCCCTGGAGACTTCCCCCTGTTTTTTTTAAAACATTTTCCAAGTGACACTATTTAGAATAATGAGAAGTCACCTGAAAAAAATATTCTTCAAAAGACCCAGGGTATGTAACAATTTCAATATGTAATCCAGGAGGTTTCATCCTTAAGAAGCAAGGAGGTCCCCTCCTTTCTTAAGTTGCAACATGGAGCACACACTGTCCAAAGAGTAGATCAAAACACTGTAGGCATGAGCTAAAACTGAACACCCTTTGCAGACAGTCTCTGTTGTCTGTCACAGCGCTCTAGATGATGTGCCAGAAGAGTTGGGACCACCTTAGGGTAGGCATAGTGTAAACTGATTCCCCTACCTCCCACCAAAAAGCATGCACCATATAGACAAAATGTAAGAGAAGACATGTGTGAGTATGACATTGTAGACAGAGTACAGAGAGGAAAGCCACACGTGAAATCTGACAAGATTACACAGTAGAGATTTATTCAGTCACCTTTCTTTAAAAGAAATAGAAGTTTGTTTTTCTTGGAAAAAACTACGCTTTTGGAAGAACCTGGAAGAACTGTCAAATTGAGTATTAGAGTTTTTTGAAAGTCAAAGTATTATGTGCTGCAAATCAGTTTATGGGAATAATTACTTTTTCATTTTTTTTAACATGTATGGGGAAATACAGAAGTTGGAGCGAGGGGGATGATAAAGACAGCCCCAGGGACTTTTTCAAGAGCCTTTTCTATGAAAAGGAGTGGTTTATTCAGAAAAAGATCATGGGGCTTTTTGGAGACAACATAGAGGTAGATGAGGGCTCTTCAGTGCCTTCATGAGTTAACTAGCTCTGATGTCAACTTCAAAAGTCAGAAGTGCAACTTGTAGACTGTGATAAATGAACTGTGTGCTATTTCAGCCGCTGTGATTTTCAGAACAGAAGCGCTGTCTCACATTACGTCGATGTAACAAACAGAGGTATCTGGGATTTGTTACTAGCCAGTCAAATTCCTGTACTAATAGAAGAATAGGACAATATATCAGATACAATATTCTAACATTTGGTTCACAGACTTTAATCTTAGTTGTTCTGTGGCAAGACAGTGGGCTTATATATTACGTATATTATATATTATGTATTGTTTTTAGTGCAGGTGAAGAACTGGACTCACACTTTTAGAAGATTGCATTATAAACCAACACAATTTTCAGGTTTATTTCCATTTTTATATAGTTTCCTGTATGTTGCTATAGACAAACTAATGTACGTAACATACTGTGGATTTTGCCCTGCTTCTTATGTTCCTCTCTCCTCTCCATTTAGATCTCAAGCTTGGGTTGCTGAGGATGGTTATTGACTCTGAATTCTTGGTCGAGGCCATAAATTTAGAGCAGGATACTTGCACCCAGTTTTTTACCAAGGCTAATGTTTTTTCATCACTTGTAACTTATTCATTGAAGAGCGTTACTCACATAAATAAAAAGGAATATTGCAACCAAAGAGAGCTTACTCAGATCATTGCTGGCAGTTTTCTTTCTCATCGTCCGCCGTTAAAATTAACCAATTTTATGCCTAAATGGCAAATTTACCTTTAAGAGAATCATTTTAATGTGAACAAATGTAAATGAGACTTTCCTATTTTTCTTGGAGAAAATAAGATACATTAAAAATTTGCCAAATTTCTTGCTTACATAGAAGATATTGTCAGTAATTGCTATGGTTTTGCCATCTTGATGATTTCCTATACTGACCACCACATAGGATGGCTTTTTTCTTTTTTTTTTTCTTTCTTTTTCAAGTGTTTCTGTACTCCTGTAGGACATAGCAGCCTCCTGCAATGTGTG